GCCTCTCCCTTCTCTTTTGAGTGCCTCAACACACAACTCCTCTCGCTCTCCTTCTAAGAAGATAAAATAAATTTTATACTTTTATATCCTTATGTCTGTGTGAGAAATTTTTCTCCACCCATGCTATGAGCACCTACTGAGTTTTCCACCCTAACGTTATCCACGAGTGGCTGCTTTTCACAGTGATGACTTCCCAGTAGAAGCTGGGAAGGACTGACTGCCTGTATACAATTTCATAGCGGAGTTTCCTTCCTTTTTGGAAGGGATTTAACAAAATGCTCTGATTCTCTTTTCTATCCCTAGGGTTAATATACTTCTAGTTTTCTCATGATGATTTTCTCTGAAAGGATGATATTAGTATTAAATTATATGATAGATTTCCTGACACAGGAAAGTCTCCATGGCTTTCTAGAGCTAACACTGACCTTTAATAGAAGGAACAATGGTCACTTTAAGGTTCTTTGCTCGTTGTAGATTCCAGGTCTGGTTCTCCTTTTCTGGTTAAGAAAAAAAAAAAAAGAACAAGTCACAGTGAATTAGATACTAGAGTCTTGGCCTCTCTTTTGAACAGTTGTTCAAAAAAAGTCCAGAATTAACTCTGGCTGCAGAATCTTATTTTAGCAAGAACTGGAGGAAAATCCAACCCCCAAACCTTCAAACCATCTAATATCCCTTTTGGTTAAGACGCTCTCCATTTGGCTTTTGCTTGGGTCCACTTTGGTAGCACTAGTTAATGCATGTGAGATTGTAGTGCCCTTCTCCAATGAAGGATTGACCCTGCCCCTGACATCCACAGACATCTGAAGAAAACAGCTACAAAAAGAGAAAGCTACCTCTTCCTTTGGTTTGCATTTTTCTAGCCAGCGAGGTTTTTTTCCCATACATAGTCATCAAAGGGCTTGTAGTTTACAAGGAACATTGGACATTAGTAAAACTCTAGAGCTATGTAATTAAGAGATTAAAGAACATACTAGCAGAAATTTCACCTAAATACCAAGGGAACCATATTCACTCCACAGTAAACCATATTGCACTCCACACTCATACATGGTTCATCGGTGGCTGGTGGTCTGTGTTTTCAATAAATAGCCTATTCCATTTCCAAGGTAGTTACCCATAAGTATCTGAATTATGCCTAAGAGCTCACACAATCCCTTGTCATTGGGATAAGTTTTACACTTGGCTTTCTTACCATCTTTCAAGCTACAATTTGGGCAACTAGAATGGACAACTCTGAATTTTCCTTGACATCTTTATGGAAATAATGACTACTGATAAATCTAAGTGGCTCCATTACTGCAGGCTACCAAACTGATCTTAGGAAATGAACCTTGATCCTCTGTATAAGATCATTACCTGATGGTAGCAAATATTTGTTGAGTGAAGGGTTAACTGAGTGAGCTTACATGGAGTGAGGGTATACAAGACTTTGAAAAGATGAAATGTACTGAATGATATTTTGTAGTGTCGCCAATACCTTTAGATGTATTATTTTCTTCCTTTTGTTTTTTTGTCAAATATCTCTCAGACTGCCTTGCCAAGTCACTGCTGAGGGTCACTCAGTGGGAACTAGAGATGAGCTTTTGGCTTCCCTTTCATTCCCTTCCTTCAGGTTTCTTTCTTTTCCTTCCTTCCTTCCTTCCTTTCTTTTCTTTCTTTTTTTTCTTCCTTTTCCTTGAAGACAAAGGAACCCTCAGGTTTTTCTTAATACTTAAGTACTCCTCACAAGCTCTTACCCTGGATGAAGAAAGATCCTCCACAGGCATAATCTTCAGGCTTTATCACAAACACCACGAAGAACTGCTCTCCTGGAAAATCCTTCTTCTGCATAAGACAAAACAACCTTATGATAGGCAGGTAAGAAAGA